TACTACAAAGTTAACCCAACGAAAAAACAAAATAGTGAAATTTTGCTTTAAAATACCAATTTTTGGATCGGAATATGGGAAACATGTTTATGTTTTTAGTCACTTTTATTTTTTTTCTATAACTGTGAAAACTGACAGGACCTTAGTTATATACTTACCCATTATAGTTCGGTGGTGGCCTCAGGAAGTCTGATAGGGTGGGTCAGAGTCCCGGAATAATCTTCCCTGGACTTATGGGAGAGTTTTTTTTTAGCTTTGTATGGCCCAAAAGTTTGCTTTTAAGCCAAAATATTAGGGATTGGCAATCAAAATAATGTTATAAGGATAAGCAAATCATTATTTGTGGTGTGGTGACCTCATCGTGGCATCGGACGATGGGAATCTAGGCCTGTCACACGGGAATTCCCCACCTCCAAAGCAAATTTGGAATGACGACGTCAACACACCAAATTCCAAGACTACGACAATCAAAATTAAAGGAAATGTTTACCTATTTAAATTTAATCTTTCTGCACTACATTTTTCTTCCTCATCATTAGTATACTATTATGTTGTTACTCTATAATATTATTAATATAGTATATCATTATTCTTATGCGTTTAAAAAAAATTATAGTTTATAATTCACAATAATATTAGCGTTAGTACTGTTATTCGTAATATACTCATGTCATTATTATTATTATCATCATCATCTTCCTCATTGTCATCCCCATCCTCATTATATTCCCCATTATAAGGAGGATTGATGATGATAAGGAGAAGAAAAATGACGAGGATGATGGTGAGGAAGAAGAAGATGATGATTATGATTGATGATAATGGTTGTTGATGATAATGATTGTGATGGTGATGAGAATGATAAAAAATGATTGATGAGAATGATGATGATGATGATGATGATGATGATGAATGATGAGAATCATCCCTCTCATCCTCACCCTTGTCCATATCTTCATTCTCGTCGTCCTCAGTTTCATCATCCTCATGATGATGATGGTGACTGATGATGGAGAGGATAATGATGAAAATGATGCTGATAAGGATGGTGAGGATAATGATGATAATAAGGAGAAGGATTAGGATGATGAGTTTGATGATGATGAAAATAAGGATGATGATGATGATTATGATTGATGATAATGGTCTTTGATGAGGGTGATCGTGATAATGATGAGGATGATTGATGAGAATGATGTTGATGAGGTTAATGATGACGAATGATGAGAAACATCCCCTCTGCCCCTTATCCTCATCTTCATTATTGTCGTCCTCATCATCTTCATGATGAGGATGATGATTGATAATGATGATTAATAAGGATGATGATGATGATGTGGTTGAAGATGAGGACAAGGATGATGATGGATGGTGATAGATGATGATTGTAATGAGGATGATGATGAGGATGATAATGACAATGATGATGATAATGAGGACTATGATGATGAATGAGTGATGATGATAAGTATGATAAGGATGAGGTTGATGATGATGAGGATAAGGATGATAATGGATGAGGATGATTAATAGGATGAAGGTGATGGTGATGATGTTAACGATGATTGGTGAGGATGGGGGTGAGGGTGATGGATGAGGATCAATGCCATAGCCAGGATTAATTTTCCACTACAAGTCAAAGCCCTTAAAATTGCATGGGCGAGAAAACTTCTCTCGAGAAAACATGTAAGGTGGAAACTTTTACCTTTACATTACATTAATAAACTTGGGAATGAAAATATAATTTTTAGTATGTCCTACCTTAACATGAAAAACCGCACGATCTTTCAAAGTATACCATCTTTTTATCTAAAAGTTTTAGAGTGTTGTGTTGATTTTAACAAAGTCAGCAATGATGTAATTAACAATTACGAACAAATCCAGAGCAACATTTATGGGGAAATAAGAATATTACATTAAGTAACAAAGCTCTATTTTTTACAAATTGGATATCATCGGGGTTAACTAAAGTCAAAAACATAGTGAGTTCAAATCGATTATTTAACCCAACTGAAAGCAAAGAGAAACTAAATGTAAAAAGAAACTGTCACAGTGAATATACTACACTTATTGAAGCAATCCCAAAAGTATGGATAAACACAAAAAGCAATACAATAAAGCTAACGAGCACATGAGAACAGAGTGTACTGCAATCGACAAAATAGCATTTATTTAAATTTTGTCAATAAAATGTTTAGTCCACCTCAGAGCATACTTAAATGGGAGGGTGTATTCGATGATAAAATACAATGGACCAAAGTTTGGAGACACAAAGTAAAAAATGAAAAAAATAAAAAATATGCACAATTAAAATTAAATACGGTAAGTTATTGAATCGAATTGTCCCTACCAATGCTAGATTATATAGATGGAATCTTAAAAAGTACATGCAAATGTAATAATTGTGATGCCATAGAAGATGAGAAACATATGTTTTTTGAATGTCCACGTAACAATATATTATGGAAAAAATTGATAAAATATTTAAAAGAATTGATAATAGTAAAAGTTCTTTTAAAGAGCTCCTGCTGGGATGTGAGTGTGACAATAAAAACAAATTATATACAATTGCTATTTATCCGATTTATAAAATAAAAATATTAACTGAATTAAAAAAGCCTACTTGTACAAACCCACGGGCTGTATTTAAGTCAATTGTAAAATATATGGATGCATTGGGTTTGTTATAAATACCAATTTTTCAGTTGCACTGTATTTCAACATTGGTGTCATTGTCAATATACGCATACCGGTATAAATAATTTTATTGTAAAACAAAAAAACAAAAACAAAAACAAAAACAAAAAAACAAAACAAAAAAAAAGAAAGAAAACAAAAAAAAGGTACAAACATTATTATATCTTGTTCAGATATAACGCAATAGTCAATGAGTGATATGTAAAAAGCATTTAGTTATATAATTTTTATAATTTTTATATAAAATTTTATTTCATGCTTTTATTATATTCAACTATTTTATAGAAATGAGTGCGTTATTATCCAAAGGTCTTATTAATTATATACTATAACCAATAACTTGCAGCGTCATTGTGCTGAATTGCGTATGGGCGTGGTCCGTGACTACCTAGCAGCCGTAAAGAGGCGCTTCTTGGTAGATAACATGCTCACACCATTCCACAACGACAGGGGCTGAAATGAACCATAACATCGGGGTAACCTTCTATTCTTCCGAAAGATGCAATGGGTTCTTTAAAGTGCACACGGGACAGATGTATACACTGGACCTCAATTCTAAGTCTTTATCCGAGAATACTTGGTTCTACCAACCGAACCATGGGTGAGGAGCGACTGGAACCAGCGCCGATGTTAAGGCTGTAGACCAGAAGGCGGTTTTCTTCTAACTGACTTAGTGGTGGCATCCCAGTGGCTGCTGTATTATTTTAAAAATAAGTTTTGTTGAAGATAATTAAAAAAAAACTGCATGAAATTTGAGAGAAACAGTTTTTACTTTACAACAACTTGTAAGACACATATGATGTTTGTAATGAGGCCTATGTGCTTTCTTTCTTTGCGTCCAGACACAGTGATACCCATACCTCTTTCGTTTCACATGTTTTTACTTTATTAATATTATTAGTATTTAGTATTATTAAAGTAGTTATAATTATAGTTATTCTCCTACCTTTACCTAACTTAGAAAATTAAGATGCATCCTGCAAACTTTTATAATCATATAGAACAGTATATATAGTTATTTTCAAGTCTGTGTAGCCTAAGCCTAAATCAGCTGCTCTGTGCATCGTGAGGGATGTGTTCGATTTTGATAAAACGACACATGACGCACCATTCACTTTTATGATTGACAGTAGATTCTGAAGTTTACATACATTTACTGTCAGTCTGAAAATGTAAAATATTATTTAATAGTTTTCAAATAGTATTCAAATGAGCTGTTTTCAAGTTTGTGACAGCCTGAATGATCAGTTGCTTTGTATCGTCATTCAGCCGCTGTATGAGTCTTCTTAATCAGCCCCTGAATGGAGTGGGAAAGTTCCCCCCCCCCCCTAAATCTTCCTCTGAATGGAGTGGGAAAGTTCCCAGCATTGGAGCTGCAGGTCCGTTAAACCAAAGTGAAACAAAGACGGCATGTTCCCGGGTATCCGCGCTGCATTTCCTTTATGGCCCAATTATGTTTTCAAAACATTGTTTGAAAATATACAAATGATAGGCCTATGCTTCGAGAATACAAAACACCTGAGTCATGTCACAGATTACCTCCTATGTACATAGTCAATTTATGGTCACCATATTATACATTCAGTTCGCAATGGCGGGTAGAGTTGTGTTGCTGGTTGTACTTACTGGCTACGTTTTAGAATGTATGGCAGATGGGACCCGTCCTATGGTCCAAGCTAAGTTTGGTAATGTTCTTGGTAGATCGGTAACCATCGGACCTGACGATTACTTTAAAGAAGAGAAGACCGTGGATGTCTACCGTAGCATTCCGTATGCTGAGCCACCTGTTGGTCCACTTCGCTTCATGTCGCCTGTAGCGAAATCGTGGGACGAGAATAGTGTGTTCGACGCTACCGGTCAACAGCATGGATGCTTGCAAGCTAAATTTGATATTTTACCAATCTTCGAAGACTTCAGCGAAGATTGTCTACAGTTGGACGTGTACACACCAAATCCAAGGGTGAGATTTAATAATGAATGCCGGAAACTATTTCATAACAACGTTTGAACAAGTAGTGTTGGGCATTCGTGTGTTAAATGCAACATAGTAATTTCAGTTATCTTAAGCATTTCATTTTTGGGTGTTACCTGCCCCCAAAAATTATCTACGAAAACTACATGTATCATCTATTAAATTTTTACCCGAATGTTCGTTAAGTTAAGGTTGTATTATATTGGCTAGTTGATTTTTTTTCTGGGTAAAGGTATTTGTCGACTTAATATCCACTATAATTTACTTAACTTCTATTAACGGATTATCGTAATAGGTTTTCATTAAAAAAAGTAGTTTGGCAGAAGACTTCACATCGAAATGATGTATGCAATTTTCTGAATTGCACTCTGGAGCAAGAGCTGCAATTTGGTTCGAACGAAATGCCTAGGCCTAATATTGCTCACTCATTCGGCAAGGCTAATTTGCCTTGTTTAGGCGCTCAACGCACCACCACAAAGAAGTGCGGACAAATATCTACATGTGCATAAAGCAATATTATTTTCCTTGCCAACTAAACGTGCATATTCTACGAGGTGGTCAGGTTACAGTCAATGCCGTAGCCAGGATTTTCAAACAGTGCGGGACAATATCAGGGTGGACCCACTTTACGTGTAAATTCAACTTTTCTTAAAAGTTGACACATCTGGACCCATTTCTTTAAAAAAATTACCCATTTTAGGCTAAATATGAGATCTTCGGACTGGTTTTGCATAAAAAATTGCATATTGGACCCAATTAAAAAAATGGGGACACATATTTTGTGGACCCATAAAAAAATGGCTACGGCATTGGTTACAGTGCTCAAACAAATTTAGTATTGCAGACGACTCTAAAATACAGCATTATCA